GGGTGCTGCCCCAGGAGCGTGGCTGGAGGGCCTTCATTTCCACACAAGCGCCTGGGGCCTCCCGTTCTCACTCCAGCCATGGAGCTGCCTTGGCCCCTCTGTACACACTGCCCGCTGCCCCAGCATCCACTGTCCGCTGGGCTCCCACCTCTGCTGCCGGAGTTCTGCTCTGGGGCCCTGGGGAGCCTCTCTGCCGTGCCTCCAGTTCCCGTCCACCCCTGCCTGTATGCCGGTGTCCAGAACACTCCATGGCAACTGTCTGTCTTACCTGCTTACGCCTCCCCTTCGGGCACCACAGTGCCCCTGGGGACAGGCCCAGGGGGGCGCTCAGTGCATGCTGGCTGAGTGAACACAGGAAGGGGTGAGTCCCGGGGCCTCTGCCTGCCCAGCTCAGGGCACAGTGGCTTCTGTGGACGACGAGGAACAAGACTGGGAGCCGTTGGTGGCGGGACTGTGGGTCCTGCAGGGACCTGGTGAGCAGCCCTGAAGGGGGCTGCTGACTCCAGAACCAGCTGCTTACAAGCCAGCTCTCCCCTCTCCTTCTGGAAGGAGGGGGAGTTGTGGTTAAGCCCGGCGCTCCTCAGATCCTCAGACCCACAGCCTGGCTCCAAGGTGTAACTGACTGGCTTCTCTGACGGCTGCCATGAAGCCCTCCCCGACTCTGGGCTCCCACCACACAGCCAACCCCACCGTGCCTGCTCCCCCCAACTTCAACTTCAAACCCAGCCTCCCTTCCCTGTGACTCAGAACTTCCCCTCATGCCCCGGCGGGTCCCTCAGCTCTGCTTCCAGGCCCCTCTGCAGCCTGAGCCGGAGAGGCCCCCACGCAGTGCCCTCAGGAGGGGCCACATGGGACAAAGTTGCTGCCCCCGGGCCCTCCCTGCTTTCCCAGGACAAGGGTCCAAGTTCGGATGTCAGAGGGCAACGTGAGGTCAGCAGACAGCGCAGCGACCCCGCTCAGGGAGCCAGCTCGGTGAGAAGGGCGAGGCTGAGAGCAGGCCTGGCGGCCACCCAGGCTCACGCCACCGGCACTGGGGAGGCCGATAAAGGGCCGAATACACACAACGGACTCAAGTGTGAGAACCCAGAAGCACGGCGCTGGGCTGTTTGACACCCTCATCTTTATCTTAACACAGGCGTGCTGCCAAAAGTCTCAGGGCCTCTCTTGAGGCTTAGAATAGGCTCTCTCTATGATGATGTAAACTGTTGAGAAGTTCCGGAAAGGCCGCCATGGCTGAGCGCCCTCCCAAGACCACGGTCAAGACTTCCCAGAGGGAAGGCAGCTCTGGGGGCCCAGTGAGGCCGGGAGAGCGAGGCGGCGGGGGGAGTGGTGCTATCCAGGTCTCCAAGCCCAAGAGCAGCCACAGGTATGGTGGGGGGGCCAATCCTGCACGTCCAGAGGGGCCATTCAGGCTTCTCGGAAATCCTGGGGACGGGCAGCCCCCACCCCACCTGCCCCTTCTTCACCCAAGTCCTTTCTGTGTTTCACAAGCATTTAAATCTCTGGAGTCTCAGGGCGGTGCAAGACGTTTCTGACCAGGCCCAGGGTGGTCCCCTGCTCACTCCCCCACTCCTCCTGCACACACCTTGTCCACGTGCAGCCCCTCTGTCCAGAAGCTGGCCCCGTCCCACTGCACAGCCACAGCCCCCACCATTCCTGCTGCAGCACCGCCACTTCCCAAGGGAAGCACTCACCCTCAGTGAGCTCCCCTGGGGTGGCTGCACCTGAACCCTCCCTGGCCCCCATGGCCACCCCAGGTTCTCCAGGCCAGTTTACTGCCATTCACACCTGCAACCGGCCCCTGCCCCCTGCTCTCTGCCCAGCTCCACACCTGCACACCCGCTGCCCCTGGGGCCCATGCTCACCAGCCCCACCCTCCCCACCTGGCCGGGGGGAAGGTGCCCTCTGTCTGGGAGTCAGGGCATGGCTGAGCGGCAGTGGACGGAGCCCAACCCTTGGGCTCCGACCTTGGCTCATTCAGCACGTGACCATGCCCTCCCTCAGTGTGTCTGAGACTGGACCACACGTGCTGCCCCGACCTCTTTGAGGCCAAAGACCCAGAGGCCCAGACTGGAGCTCTGCTGCTCTCACCAGACACTCCCACGCCCATCAGCCAGATCGGCTGCAACCCACCTGCCCTTCACGCAGTCTTCACCTCCCAGCCAGCCCACAGATTAGCCAGATAAGCCCACCACATCATCCAGCAGACCAGGGGCACCCACCCTCTTGTTCCTACAAAACCGGCTCCCGCAGCCCCGCTGGGTCACCCTCTTCCCCACCTGGAGCCCTGGGCCCTCCCCCAGGGCTGTTGAGCGCACCTCTCCGGCACCAGGTGTTGGGTGTTTGGCTGTCTTGTGCCATCTAACCTGGGGGAGCCCTCCCTCAGCGGGGGTAAAGGGGAGACACTCAGAACACCTGGCTCCTCATTCACTGGGATGACAGCAGGACTGCCTGGTGGCTGCCCTGGGGTGGCTAAGCAGTCACCTGTTGGAGGGTGTAAATGCCACTTCCCACCACCCGGCCCTGGTGGTCCTGCCAGGTTTCTGCAGAATGAAAGTCCAGGCAGGAGGGACACTCACCACACGATGGCCAGCCGGGGGATGGTGAACATCAGTGCCGGCTCATAGTCGTCAATCATGTCCTGGGTCAGGTACCCGAAGTCCAGGGCCCTGGACAAGGCGGGAAAGAAGGGGCGGCCCACGGTCAGCGTGGGTCGGGGAAGCAGCCACTAACCATCACTCGTGTCTGTGCTCAGCGACTGGCTGGAGGGGCCAGGCGCACAGGGCGCCGTGGAGGGACGCCCCCTGCACCGTCTTTCCCCTCCTGCCGCACTGCTGGATGGAAGGATCAGGGGAGTGGGTCGAGTGGTGCTCGCTGTGGGGCTGGTGAGGGCACAAAGTAGGAAAGCTAATCCAGTCCTGGGTTTAAACAGGAAATGGAAGCAGCCTGAGTGCCAGGAATAAAGAGGAACAGAAACATCGCCCCAAACAACCTCACACTTCCCCAAGAAACTGGCATTGCTCTCCTGGATTTAGCCTCATGCCCAGGCACTTGCAGACGGCTTTCTCTGCCTCCACAAGCAGGCGCTGCTGGCCTCGTGATGTTCAAAATAAAAAGCGTTTCCTGTCACCTCATATTTTGACAACTGGCAATGCCTCTAAACACATCACAGTGAATAACGTGTCTTTAAAATCAAAGAGCTAATGATGTGATATTGAGCCATCTCAAAACTTACCTAATACGAAGCACTAGTCAAATATGAGAAACATTCTAGCTTAAATCTTAGTCTCAAAGCCCATTCAGAAAATCTGACTTCAAATTACCATGCAAGGCATGAGGGGAATAGTTACGATTCACCCTGAAAACCAGGCTCCCCAGACTGGGAGCCAGGAAGGCCTCCACCAGGCCTGTGGAGGAGAGGAAATGAGAAGTGGGGAGGGGAGGGAGGTGAGGAGGTGAGGGAGGTGAGGGAGGTGAGGAGGTGA